GATTACCCTGAAGTACTGCACAAATGTGATCACCCCAATTTAAAATTATTACATATTAATATAATAATGCACAAATGTAATTAAAGAGTCACATGTGAAAGCATTATAACAATAAAAGGACTTCAGAAAATAAACTGACAATTTTAATGCTATCAATAGACTAGTATTAATATAAGATTTTACTAGACACAAAGTGGGGGATCTCTTTTCTATTGTAACTAAGTACTAAAATGATCACCCCGAATTATTACATATTAATATAATAATTGCACAAATGTAATTAAAGAGTCACATGTGAAAGCATTATAACAATAAAAAGGACTTCAGAAAATAAACTGACAATTCTAATGCTATCAATAGACTAGTATTAATATAAGATTTTACTAGACACAAAGTGGGGGATCTCTTTTCTATTGTAACTAAGTACTAAAATGATCACCCCGAATTATTACATATTAATATAATAATTGCACAAATGTAATTAAAGAAATGTGAAAGCATTATAAAATAAAAAGGACTTCAGAAAATAAACTGACAATTTAATGCATTATAACAATAAAAAGACACAAAGTGGGGATCTCTTTTCTATTGTAACTACTAAAATGATAAAAATTTTAAATATAATAACAAAATGTAATTAAGAGTCTAGTGAAAGCATTATAACAATAAAAAGGACTTCAGAAAATAAACTGACAATTCTAATGCTATCAATAGACTAGTATTAATATAAGATTTTACTAGACACAAAGTGGGGGATCTCTTTTCTATTGTAACTAAGTACTAAAATGATCACCCCGAATTATTACATATTAATATAATAATTGCACAAATGTAATTAAAGAGTCACATGTGAAAGCATTATAACAATAAAAAGGACTTCAGAAAATAAACTGACAATTCTAATGCTATCAATAGATAGACTAGACACAAATTAATAGTACTAAAAGAATTATTTTACTAGACACAAAGTGGGGATCAAAGTGGGGGATCTCTTTTTCTATTGTAACTAAGTACTAAAATGATCACCCTGAATTATTACATATTAATATAATAATTGCACAAATGTAATTAAAGAGTCACATGAAAGCATTATAACAATAAAAAGGACTTCAGAAAATAAACTGACAATTCTAATGCTATCAATAGACTAGTATTAATATAAGATTTTACTAGACACAAAGCGGGGGGGGGACCGAATTTTCATTGTAATTAGTCACATGTGAAAGCATTATAAAATGATCACCCCTGAATTATTACTGAATATTAATATAATAATTGCACAAATGTAATTAAAGAGTCACATGTGAAAGCATTATAACAATAAAAAGGACTTCAGAAAATAAACTGACAATTCTAATGCTATCAATAGACTAGTATTAATATAAGATTTTACTAGACAAAAGTGGGGGATCTTTTTCATTGTAACTAAGTACTAAAATGATCACCCTGAATTATTACATATTAATATAATAATTGCACAAATGTAATTAAAGAGTCACATGTGAAAAGCATTATAACAATAAAAAAGGACTTCAATAGACTTGAAAATAAACTATTGACAATTCTAATGCTATCAATAGACTAGACAATTTAATGCTATAGACTAGTATTAATATAAGATTTTACTAGACACAAAGAGGGGGATCTGTTTTGCATCGTTATTAAACTGTTCAAACCACAGCATTTAACAATGTTTTAAGGCTTCGTGTATATTTGGATATCTATGGGATAAAGTGCTCAATATCAGAGATAGAGCGTATGTAAATATAAATATAAAAGTGAACACTGAAAGCAAAACTCAGAGGCGACAGACTGTTTCATGCTAGACGCAATCATCAGGCCGCGAATGTTGGATTTTTCCTCGACTATTTATATATATATGGCTCAATGGTGCATTGTGGGTAATCTATTCTGGCGGTTATTTTTGTGGAAGTGGCATGTTTGTTTATTTATTTATTTGCTTGGGTTAATTTTTTTTACAATGATACATGGCCCCACGATCTTATACGCTTAGGGTTAACGTAGTGTATCTACTTTTCATCGCCGGTCATGATACGATGCCAAAAAAATTTCCTTTTGCCTCTGATGCAGCTGTTCACACGTGACAAGACGCCGTTCGACGTCTCTCGTCTTCAAACCGTACGGTACAAAATGTCCTTGCTTTTGAATCATTTCGAATGCTTTCAAATTTTTCGCAACTGTTGTGTGATTAACTTCTAATGATTCTGTAAGCTCAGCTTGCGCGTGATACGAGTCTTCGTGTAGCACTGCCTCCTATTTTCCGTCTTCAGACATTTTTCCGTGGGCTGGAGCCCATCTTGATCTTCAACATCAAAATCATTATTCTTTTAAGCGTCTAAACCAATCTCTGCATGTTGTTTCCGACAGAGCATGGTCGCCGTAAGTCTAAACTCGTTGTATTCCAGCTGCAGATTTCGTTTGAATATAGTAGTGAAGTAAAATTCCCCGCAGTTCTGGGAAAACAGTGAGAACTTATTCACGGTCCTAATATTCTGCAGTGTAGGCGTTTTTTCCATCGATATCAATGCTATTGATTTCAAGTGCTTTTCTACTTTTATCAGTGTTACGACCAACGAGCGGTTTACATCTGTCTGTCGTAAGTCATCTGTCCAACGGAAGCGTTTATTTTATCCACGAGTATGCAAAACGCATTTCTATGTATGATTTTTACTTTTCACAAGGCTTATGTTTATTCTTCATATTGGAGTCATTTTTCGATAGTGAATTAAAAAGATCATTTATTTTCTATCTGAATTGAGAATCAGCAAATATTACTGGAACATTCTTACTACCTATACACGAATCATGTGCTTATAAAATACACAGTACTCACGAATACGTATGAAGCTAATATGAACACCTGTAGTCATTCTTATCTCTTTCGAAAAAAAAGAAAAGAAAAAAGATTAATTCTCTGGCGAGAACGTATGATTATGAGTTTTCCTTTTGTCGCCACCAACCCGACACACTTACAGATCGTTTGGCTGATATTAGGAAGGCGGCCATGTTAGATATAGTGGCCCTTGGTTGGATTTCTTATTTAAGAAGACGAACATCTCTACGTGACGTCATCGATCTAAAGACGCCGGCCTGGAATAATTTCCCGTGTGGACAATGGCGTGTTTGACAGAGTAAAAAAGGCCAAGTGCAGATGTCGTTGCAAGAGAGTTCCTTTGTTGTTCAGAGGAGATATAAGAGAGAAAGAGAGAGGGGGAGAGAGAGATTAGGAAAATTAAATGAAAGTCACAAAGAGAGAAAAACAGATAAAGAGAGAGGTATTCAGCAGACTTTTAGAGAGAGAGAGAGAGAGAGAGAGATGGTCGGAATTGAGTGGGGTTTGATGATATATAGTGTAAAGGTAAATTGTGGGTTGAATGGTTATGACCAATGGCGACCTGTGTTGGAACCCAAGTGGCAGGGTCGATGGACAGGAAAAGGGGTTGATTGTAAGATACGACATGCTACTAAAGAAAGAAAGGAAAGAAAGAGTGAAAGAAAGAAACAATGAATGAATGAAAATGAAAGAATGAATGAATGGATGAAGGAAGGAAGGAATGAAGGAAGGAGGGGGGAAGGATGGAAGGAAAATAATGACAAAAGAAATAAAAAAGAAAGTAAGAATGAAAGAAATAAGGATTGAAAGGAAGAAAGTAAATGAAGAAAACAAGAAAGAACGAATGAATGAAAGCAAGAAAGGGAGGGAGAATGAAAGAGAAAGAAAAGGAAAAAAGGAATACAAAAGCAAAGAAAGAAAGATAGAAAGAAAGACAGAAATAAATAAATATGAAGAACAAAATAAATAACAAATAAAAATGTAAAAAAAATAATTTAATATAAGTGAACGAAAGAAATGAAAAATATAAGTAAAGAAAAAGTAACCCCCCCCCCCAAAAAAAAAACCTAAAAAAAAAAAAAAAAAAACAAAAGAAGAAGGAAAAAGAAAGATTAAAACCGAAAAAAAAAATATAAACAGGAAAACAGTACAATTGGCGGGAAGAAAACTGAAAAAAAAAATCAAGAGAGGAAACTGGACGAAAAAGAAAGCGAGGGATTCGCGAGGAATTTCTAAAGATGTACAAGAATGAAGAATGATACAAAGTAAAATTGCTGAGTTAAGAAAAATACCATTAAAAGTTTAAAAAAAACAAAAAAAAAAACAATCAAATAGAAAATTCTGAAAAACCGTCTACTTTAAAAGTAGAGCGAGAGTAAATAGAGCAAGGATACAGAAACCAAATTACTCACAGCAAAGTGGCGGATAGACGAAATAGGACAAAAAATAGGGCCAACCCCTTTTTGTTTGCATTCTTTTGTATATATACTTTTAAAATATCCGTTTTAAAAACTCTAATAAAACTTGTACACCCAATTTATATAAAAACATATAAAGAGATAATCACATTTTTTTAAATTAGCAAAATAGTAAAAGAAGAAATTTAGTAAAAATAAATAACTAAAAGAAAAGCGCGGTAAAAGAAATTAAAAACAAAAAAGAAAGAACATTATTTACATTATTCGGACTATTGTCCACATCTTTGTCGCCATATTTATTACAACGTTCCGGCCGTTGTACACTCCGGCCTTCTTCAGGTGGTTGGAATGCTGAACTGAACCCTTTGAACCCTTTATTTCACTCACTGGGGTAGACTGTTCTAGTTCCACGTGCCATGTTTAATGGATGTCAGTTATCAGTTATCGCCTGTTAATTTTCCCTCTGAAAGTTCTCCGCTGCCTTCGCCGTGTATTGAACTCACACTCTTTGGGTTCTACCACTGGATCTAACCAACGCTTTTATCTACTGTGCCATGTGTAAATAGTCCGAATAATGTAAATAATGTACATAATACCTCATCTCAGAAATATAGACAGACTCCAAAAAAAAAAAAAAAAAAGAAAGAAAGAAATAGCGCACTGAAAGAAGAAAAAGAAAACATAAAAAATATGGCGTGAAAGAAAGAAAGAAAAATTAATTCAGAAAA